CGAGAAGCGAAACTGTACACAAAAAATGTCCTGTCTCTGTTTATATTTGTATCGAGCAATTAAAAAATCATTGCAGCAGCAGCAGCATACAACAGGAAGTCACCAGAGTGGGATATGATGGAATATGTACATCTCTTTAATGGAAAGCATCTTGCTGACTGATAGACTAAGTAGAAAGCATCCTTCGAAAAACAACACTATTCTACTCTCTACACCATCTAAAAGATAACCGAAACTCAACTCGACTAAGTAGAAAGCCTCCTTCTAAAAACAACACTATTCTACTCTCTAAACCATCTAAAAGATAACCGAAACTCAAGAAGAAATTAAGGAAAGCTCTTTACTTGGGAAATAGATAAAATAAATAAAAAAATAATAATAAATACCAGATAAAAATTGAACTGATGTGCAAAAATTCCATTAAAGCACCATTGTATCAACAACATTAAAATCAGTACAAATGATTTCGCAGTTGTGAATCAGACATGTCATAAACATTCATTTGTATGTTTATGTGTTGCGCATACGCATGGCCTGCACCTTATGTTTAAAGTAGCGCTTAAAGAACGATAAGATTAAAGAGAGAGGGGCGACTGAGATTTGTCTTGGCGTTGTAAATGAAAAGGATCACGAACACGCAAATGCGCCATTTATGTCGTCAGGTGCAGTGAACGTAGACAGCTTCCTTAGCCGTTCCACAGCCCTTCCACCCGCCTACAGTGAACCAACCACCCCCAGTCGGTTCATCCACATTTCACATCCCTGGCGCGTGCAACACGTAAATGGCAGCGAAATTTATCAAACGCTTTATAGCCCAAAGGCGAGCGCTGATGTTTTGGCCTGGTTGTGGCGAGGTGTGGATACCAGGGACCGTGCCGTGTGGGGCTGTTTTGTTTAATCTTGTTCACATGTCCCTGCAGCTTGTTTGGCCATAACTTTGCTGCCTCCCTGGCTGCTGGCTCAGCCACGAAGCGGGGAAATCATTGACGTTAAATCTGCTTTCTCTCTCTAAGTCCCCTGTCTGACCGACCGACCGCCATTTTATATGCAGTTAATTACAACGCGGCCGACCTTGCGTGCTTTTCTTCTTCTGGCTTCTTGGTCTTACTCTTCTTGGCATGCGGCTCACGTTTGTGCCAAAAATCTTAATTTCTTTACGAGCTGTGGCTCTGACCTAGCCCTGGAAAGAAAAGCTACCAGCTCTGCGTGTCCGGTTTTGCTGACCAGCACTTTTCCTGGGCGCAGCGGTGGCCATCATTCATAATTGGCGTGCTGCACCTTTAAGGCGTATTTATGGCACAGTGGCATTGTCGGTCAGGTAGGGCCAATTTGGGGAAGTTGCAACTAAATTACATAATATATATCTAATTTTAAAGGTAAAGTGGCAGTTTCTGCATTAGTATGGAATTTCATTTAAGTCCATCAAAGAAATTTACAAATTACATTAGAAATAAATGAAAGAGTGAAAAAAGAAAACGAAGTATTGAAATATTGAATGTAACCAATTCCCGCTGCAACATTTCCCAACGTACTTTAATTTGTACTTAATAATTACAACAATCGCATAAATTCCATTAGTCTATTTTTGTACAAGTTTATCTTAAAATCATTAATAGTAGTTGGAAAATTAAAGAGGAGTGACGTGTGAGACTCTTCTTACTCGTCACCACTTTTGTACCCGGTAATCAGGCAGTATTAGTAGTTTTTTCGTATTTTCCATTGTACATTTTAAATCAGATCACTTCGCACACCATCACGCCCTTTTAGCTCGCCACCCTCCCCCAGTAACACACACTGCATGAGGCGAGCATGTGCGAGTGAGAAAGAATGAGCAACAAGAAACAAAAAGCTGCTGGATGGGGTGGGGGTAGCCACAGCAAATACATTTCTTTTTTCTGGTTATGTTAATAATCTAATCTAGTCCCAATTCTATGATCTAATCGAGGTGATCAATACCTACGGAATTTTTATACCCGGTACTCGAAGAGAAAATAGGGTATTGTATTTGTGGGGAATAACGGTTGTATGTAACGCACTGAATGAAACGTTTTCGACCCCATAAAGTATATATATTCTTGATCAGCATCAATAGACGAGTCGAAAGAGCCGTGTCTGTCTGTCCGTCTGTCCGTCTTGTTTGTCGGCTAGTTCTCAGAGACTAGAAGAGCTAGAGACACCAAATTTTGGCTCCAGACTGCTGTATGCTCACACTGAAACCAGTGTATTTCAAAAATGAGCCACGCCCTCTTCCGCCCCCTCAAAAGGACGTCTGCCTCGCGCAGGCACGTCTCTGCCTCTGCAGCGTCTCTTGACAAATAACCGCTAAGGTGCAGATGTACGTAGTACTGAGACATGTGACGCGCAACAGCAGATTTTCGGTGTTTGTGGTGGTGGAACGGGCGGGACCTAATTTTGAAATACACTTGAAATGCTCGGATATCCCAGCCATCTAGATGCAACATTTGGTGGCTCTAGCTCTTATAGTCTCTGATATACAGGCGCTCATAAGGATGGACAGACGGACGGACGGACGGATAGACGGATAGACAGAAAAACATAGATAGACTTGGCTAATGAGGCCGATCAAGAATATAAATACTCTATGGGGTCGGAAACGTTTCCTTCTGTGCGTGACATATGTACATCCACATTCGAGCACAAATACAATATTCCCCCTTTTACTCTTCGAGTACCGGGTATAAAAATCCTAACAAAATCTTTTACAAATAAAAAATAGTTCCATTTAATGCCAATAAAGCATCCCTTTTACATTCTTAAGTTTTGATTAATAATTTTTTTTTTAAGTTTTCAATTGAAAAAAAAAAAAAAATTTCCAACTCAATCACTCCCCCTATTGTACTACACACTCGAATGTTATGCGACCTTTGCATGACTAAAAGTTCCAAATTATGAGGGCACGAGCCGACCCTACTCAGTGTTTAGCGCAAGCAGTGCAATTATTTGTGCTGCTTTACAAGGTTAATGCAATTTGCTGCACCCAAAATCATTCAAATTTCGTTCCGGCACAGCGAGAATAGTCCCGCGTGCCCGAGATTGATGAATAAATTATCATAAATGATTTTTTAAACAGTGTGCCTGGTGAGCATGCCGCAAAATTAATTTATATTATAAGCCAGCTCTCCAAGACGTTTCAGGATGAACTTCTGCGTACTTTTCTCTCTCCTCTTTTGCATACATTTATAATTTCCCTAAGTGAAACGCCACAAGTTTCCAAATTGGCCTTTTTCGCGTGAGAGCGCCCGAAGTGGCTGGTGATTTTATATGCATTTCCCATTTGATTTGTATATACCAGTACGATGAGCTTTCTCTAGCGGACTCCTGCTCCTGCTCTCCTATTGTTCTTTTTTGCCTTTTGTACACTGCTCAAAGCGCGGCGTGGGGATTGCAGGATAGTGCCGTCGGCTCTACAGGAGGTCGGACGCTCGTCTTCATCATAAGTTATGATTTCATATGAGAGCGAAGGCAGCCAGGAGGTGGCATGCTGTGCTTTTGTTTGCCCGCCGAGAGCTAGGCGCCGAAATGCCTTTGTCGGTTTGGTTTTATCCAGAGTTGCAGCTACATACGTGGCCGCACCGCACACGGTGCCATGGTCGGCTCAGAACCCGCAGCCGGAGCCAAAGCCAAAGCTAAAGCTACTGTTGAAACTCAGAGCGTGGGCAGGAACTGGCAATGAGGGACTTTTGTCGGCTCCCTCCTTGTCTTGAGCGCTAGCATTCTTTGACTCTGGCTGCACTAGATAGATGGCTGGTGCTGGCTTTTGACTTTGGTCGTTATCGATTATAACTTGCTTGAATTCACGCTATTTACTCTTCCTCGTCCTGACACTGTTCGCAGTCCCATTTCATTTCTTTCGCCTTCCCCAAACATAAGGTGGAAACTTTTTCAATATATGTTCAAGGGACATGTAGGATATGCAGACAATTGATTGCTGAGCCCGCATGCTGCGAGTGATTTGTGAAGATTCCACTTTTAATAGCTGCCTCGTGGAAGTTGTGGGGAAACGGACTTAGAAAACAAATATCTTCGGAAAGAGCTCGGGACTCTAAAAAGATGCATACTTGATTGATTTTGCGCACGGATATCCACGAGATATCGATGAATCCATCCCAAACGATCTGTCATCGAGCTACAATGGCAAAGGCATTGAAGTTAGTTTGAAGTGTTTTTATCAGCTGGGCCACTCATTAAGTCATACCATTAGTAGCCAGCCTTCGGCTTCTCTTTGCCTCTTTCTCTCTCTCTCTCTCTCTCTCTCTTCCTTTGGCACTACCACTCTCATTCGACCGTAGACCGTACAACCTAACCCCTAGTTCCTGCGATGGCGTTGCACCCCCGTCTCAGGTCACAACTTTAGCTAATTGTTGGTATTGTTACTTTTTTAGGGCTAAAATCCCACATTCCAGCCTAACAACGTAAGTGAGAGAGAGGCTCTCACACACACCAGTGCACACGCTCATTTGGCAAGAATGAGAACACAAAGGCTGAAGGAGAGAAAGCGAAAGTGTTTGCATGCAAAAATGTGGCACCCTCTTACCCCTGCCTCTTTTAAACTCCCACTCCATGGAAGACGGACCAAAACAAAGAAGAAAAGTCAAGCGATACCTCGCATTTTTAGGCCAAGTGACCGTTACACTGGTTGGAGAGTGAGTGGAAGTGGGACGGGTAGGACGGGTGGGACGGGTGGGACGGGAAACCTGACCGCAAAAAAGAAGCAAGGAAAAAGGCCAAAACTTTTTATTTATGTATACACATAGTTTTATATATGTACTTACATACATAACCCTTCATGTACTTACACACACATAGTACTGTTGCGAACAGAATTACTGGCACAACCTTATACATTATACCAAAATATTCAAATTTATATTGATTTTTCGAAGACGTGAAAACTTTCACTAAAACTTCAAAATAATGAAAGATGCAAAGTGCAAAATATGTGAATGAGAATCTGCGATGGGGCTCGGGGGGAGACTCACCTTGAACGCCTTAAATGAGGAGACCACATAGAAGGCGCCATCCTCCAGCTCATCCAAATGATACTTTCGGTCGCCGTCCATGGAGAAAACATAGCGTGCCCCTCGGGGAAGATCCATCTTGGGCGAGATCTTGTCCAGCAGGTTGTCCAGCGACGTCACATCGCGGCCGGGTCTATAGCGCAACTCCACACCGGGGAAGAACGGGTCCCCGTTGCGGTAAAAAACCACGCGCCGGGCCTTCCAATAGGAGAGATTGGAGTAGCGGGACGCTGCCGCACTAGAGATCTCCGGCCGCGATTTGGAGCGGACCAGTGGCACAACAGGCGGTTGCTCCGAGGTCTCACTCATATTTTCCAGGTAGCTCGGGCTGAGAGCCCGACTCTGATGGCCGCTATGGACACCACTCTGAACTCCACCCGAGCCGACGTTTCTGGACTGCCAGTAGTCGGGCACGTGCCGAATACCAACACCAAGAGCACTTCCAGCTGCTGCAGCAGATGCACCGACGATATTTGGCTGTAAGTCACCGGCCGTTAGGACCTCGTCCTCATCGTAGGGGGCATTCTGTATCCGGAAGCTGGACGATATATTACGCGTAGGACTCTTGACGGGGCTGCTGTGGTTGCTTTCGTTTTGCTGGTGATTGCCGCCACTGCTGTTGCTGTTGTTGTTGTTAATGTTGCCGCTGTGCTTGTTGCTAAAACTATTATTCCGCAGATTATCATCAAAGTGGGACACCGTTGTCTGGGTCGGTTTCGGTGTTGGCGAAACGTTTCCCTCGAGCTGTGCGTTCGAACTAATTTGTGGCATTGTTTGGCCGCCAAGCACGAACTCGTTATTAGCAGCTGCGACGCTACGACCATGCCCATCCCCATCCGCATCTCCTTCTAGGTCCCCGCCCCCGTTCCGACCATCCACATCCCTTTCCTCATCCGCCATGTCAGCGGCCTCGTGGGCCAGGTAATCGGCGTTTTCTTCGTTCATTTTCGTGTATGAAGTCGCGTTTTAGAAGGCTCTCTTGAGACGCCTGCTAGAAGCACCTGTACTTTCGTACGACACCTTGCGTGCTAGATTTGTTGTGGTCAAACGAATTGCTAGGGGCAGCAACACTGTCGTCGCGTCGACGCAATGAAATTCTTAGCGGCTCTTTTCTCAAGGCTCCTTCCTCTTCAAGTTTTTGTTCTCGTTCTAGCCGGCAGTCGTAGTTTCTCCAGCGATGTGTGATGTTCCACAATACTGCAAGAAAAAATATTAATTTACACTAATAGTTATCTGGACATATCCCTCTTCCGCATACACTTATCTAGTTGCCCCTACACGCATTCATATGTACGTTTGAATGCACTCTCAAGTGTCGCTCTCAAAGCTATTAAATGTTAGTCACAGTCTCTAGCCTTCCCCTCTGCCATCGATATGTCCGGAACTCTCAATACAATGTATCCATTGCGTCCCATTGTCCAGATTCTCTTCACAACTCCGCTTCCATCTCCACGCTAGAGCACTTTTCAATGGGCCCGTCCAGCGAGCACTCTACCAGCTCCCTTGTCCCAGTAAACAGACCAAAGAGCCCCACTCAACAATTTGGCGAGCACACTGCAAACATTCACACTTCTCGTGCACTGGAGAGGTTGAAAATATCGCTTACTATTTGCCCGGCTCTACTTTTTGCAACCCAGCTTCGCAACAAGTGGTAGGGGGGCCCTCGACGAAGGCAAAGCAGATTAAGAGTTGCAAGAACCGAAAAACTGCAGACGGCCGGAGTTCTGGGCCGGACTTAAGTGGCATAGGTCTCTTGGGTCTCTGACGAAACCACTCACACTCACTGACATAAAGCCACACAGCCATTCAAACCAATACATACATCCTTCTACTGCATTGGAGTTTCTTGTGTATTTTACAATTGCAACAAAAAATAAATATTTACTGCCAGTGGGAAAATTTGTTTCTTTTTTTTACCATTTTGTGGGTTTGAGTTTTACCTGCTTTATGCAAATTCGTTTTTACTCCAACCGTTGCAAGTTGTTTTATGGCCGTATATTTTTTCCTTTTTTGGGGCTTCTTTTGCGGCAATTAGGTTAATGACACTTTGGTCTGGCGGTTGTTGTTGCTTCTTGTTTTGGGTTATTTATGCACGAGCAGTTGTTGCTCTTGCCACAGCGCAGCAGTGAAAACAGGATGTGGCGGATAAGGACAAGGAGATGCCGGTGTCCTGCAGCAACAGCATCAGCATGCACTTCCACTAATTGACTATCAATCCTGCGCAATTGTCTTAACTTGTTTAAGGCACACTATCTTCCAGGGACACTCGGGGGAGTGGAGTGCAGCACACTGCACACACACAGAAACACACACATTAACTTGAATCAAATTTAATGAACTCAATAGAAAGTTTATCAAAACATATTCCAAACAAAAGTTGGCCAAAACAAAAGTGCGAAACTTTGCTCCTTTGGCTGCTTTTTCTTTCGCTCCTCGACGTTGCACAAGAAGAAATTCCGTGTGGCAACTTTGCCGGTCAAAGTGTTTTTGAAATGTGTTTCATGTGCCTCTGTTGTGCTTCCTCGGTCTCCACTGCCTTCTGCTGCTGCGACCTGCTGCCGTCTGGGTCCACTCTAAACTCGTCGTCGACGCAGCCAATTTTCCTCGGGAACTCCAGTAGAGGCCCATGCCGCTGCCCACCCCTCTCCTCATGGTTGTCCTCGCGCTTCGAATTACACGTTCACTTCTCCTCACTGTATGTGTGACTGACTGACTTATGGGGCTAATGCTGCCGCTGACGCTGCCGCTACCGTACTGCCCCTTATCGGTTCCTTTATATTTCCACTTCCACTTCTCCCTCGCAACCTCTCCTCATCTAATTGTGCTCTGCTTAAAGTCGTAGAAACCACAGGCAACGCTAAGCCCATAACCCAACCCTTACTCACACAGACTTGCACAGGGGAACACTATGGTCTGGCGTGGCATGGGGGCCAAACGTTAGGTTCTCTCAGCCACTTGGCTTTTCCACCTTTCCGAGTTTTCTGCCCTCTCCTTGCACTACTTATTACCTTAGGCAGTGGCATAGGCAGAGGGATCTTTCTCCTCTCTAATTATTGTGCTTGCTATAGAAGCTTTTGTTGGAAGTTAAGGAATTCCTATAGGTTTCATTGGTAGTATTTTCTGAGCCCTCGTTGCTTACCTGCCGGGATCTGAGCTAAACTCTTTAACAGGCAGGGGCTGATTGCTGAGGGTATAGCGATTTTCAGTATGCTTCACAATAATATTTTAAATAGATAGGTTTTTTTTTTCTTTTAGGTACAACATAGGCACTAGTTAATAAATTCTTGAAATCTGCTTCGATTATTGAGAAAAAAGTCTTAATTTGATGTTAGGTATTACTATAATATAAACAAAAAATATTGAAGAATATTGATTTGTAAATCTAGAAATATAAAATAAGTGCAAACAACAAAAAGTGCAAAATGGAGTACATGCGAGTTTTTTTATTTGTCGCTATTTAAAAGCCTCACACTTGTGTTTTTCTGGTTGCCTATTTATTAACAACAAAGTATCTACCACAAAAATTGGTTCAGTTTGCATCATTCGTCTAGAAGTTATGCGCGACGAAAGTCAGTTATTGTGAGTACTCACAAGTGCTCCCCACTGTACTGTATGTGTACACATTCTTTTCCAAGAAACTACCTGATATTCTGCAAGTTTCGCCAAATTTTTTGAGCATTTTAATACTCAAAGGGGTTTAGAATCTATCGATCAACGCTGCACGCTGTACCTACAATTGGCTGAAATATGGGTTTTAAAGGCAACTTTTCGATAGATTAAAAAATTAAGTTTGGTAATTTAGGTTCGTTGTTCATAATTATGTTAAAATACCTTAAGAAATTCACGGAGAGCGATTAATATAAAATTGTGTTAGTCAAAAAAATGTTTATTTCGCGTTTCGAGCCACTGCACCATCGTACGTACACGTCCTACACCTCGCACCCACCCACACTTACGGGCGGGGACAAAGCCCGAAGGGGAGAGGAAATCGCACTTTGGCTTATCGTGTTTGAATTGTTGTAGTTGTTGCAGTGTTACTGTATGTGTGAGCTTATATATTCGTATTTTGTCGTCGACTTAGTCAACGACGTCAACTTCCACCATCGTGCAGCACCTTATTCCCCACTCACATGCAACTTCTTTGGCGAAACAATTTGTGTGGATTTCAGTGCTTTAGGCAGGGATGTGAAATTTTCTGTGTAACGGTCGTCTCCCGCGCAAGCAACACTCCCAGCCAGAGCTCTGGCAGAGTTCCCCGCCCCACAAGCACATTTTTGGTCGGTTTGTTGAGAGGTGTATTGTACAGTTTTTTCATTTTTGTCCATTGTACAATTAGGCCAAACGTTTGGGGAAATTTGTTTTTATTACAATGCTATTACTCTTGATTTGTATTAGAAGGCGACGCTCTCTGGGAATAACATGGTGTGCCACCCAACCGTCACCCCGACTTCTTTAAATTAATCACATTTTTGTTGGGGCGACGCAACGTTTTTGATATTAATGTTTTATTTTAATACCATTTCCGGCGAGATGCGTGATTTGTGTATTGCGAGCCATATTCTCGAATGAGTATAAAATAATATTGTGACTAGATTTTGAAAATCTTTGACTATTTTATCAATAGCGGGTGCTGGGTGCTTATTTTGGTACGACTTAATGGGAGTTCCATTCATGTTACATATTTCCAACAATGTTCTATAAGCTTCTACTGCTTTTATTTTAGAACTATATACATTTCCCTAACATGCACAGAGCACAACAATCTAGTAGAGTTCAGCTAACAACTCAAGTAAGCTTCTTCTCTTCAACTCTCCCTCTTTTCAGAACAATCAGTATGTCCCAATCAGAGGACATACACATTTGTATGAGTGTATGGAATCTGCCATAATAAGCATCATGTGGCAGCGCGATAGCTAAGAGAAGTGCAGCAGTTCATGTGGCAGAACTCTCCAATGCACAACGATGCATTTCGTATTGCATACATTCCTGCGCCGTTCCACAACAAGAAGTTGCGGCGATGAGTTTGTGCAAAGGGCGCGGTCAGAAGTTGACAACGACGACAGAGCCAACAATGAGGCATTTTTAATGTAACCATTAAACAATGGCAACCAGGACAATGCCCAAACGCATACCCACAGCGAGACGGAAAGAAGCAGATTGACTGCAGTGGACAAAAAGTAAACCCAGCAAGCATTCTGGGAGAAGTTTGGTAAAGAATTTTCAAAGTTTTCAATGGTTAACACACAAATAAAAGCGAGTCGACTTCAGGATTAGAAAGGAAGTGATTTCAGTCTTTTGATCCAACACCACAAGTGTTTAAAAAAAGATAATAATACACAAAGCAGCTGAAAAGGTTTTTGATGCCCAATTTGGTAATATGATTCCAAATGTGATCCAAAATAAAACGAACACCATCTTGCCTGTGGGGTTATGGCCTAACAAAAGTTTACCCAAGTTCCAAGTATACATATAAATGTACATATAAGTGTACGGAAAGAAAAGTCAGTCTTCGACTGGATTCAGCTGCTGTCAGTCGCGCGAGAAAACTTATTAATACAAAGTATGATGCCCATGTCGCTACTAAAGGGAGACATTGAGGAATGCGACAGCCACGAGCATGCGAGCCAGGAACAGGCCGAACCAGGGTAGCGACATTTGGCCTAGCCATATACAACATATACAACCGCATCTGACTCCGATTCCGATTGGAGTAGGAGTACTCCATCTCCAACTCCAACACAGCCGAGTACTCGTGCTTTGTCTTCCCACTCAACTGCACTCTTGCAACTCCCGCCCACCAAGTCGAAGCTGTTGCGTTTTGCCGGCTTTCGTCCGATGAAGGGTACCGACCAAAGGCAAGGCGACCACAACAAGAGCCCCTCCTCGAATGGGAAAATGCCTGGCAAATGGTTTGGGGGAGGGGGGCTGACCAGGCAGCTGCCATGTCAAAATGAATGAATGAATGGGAAGGCATGACTCGAAGGCAAGGAAACTACAAGCAGACCAACAGCTTGAACAGCAGCACAAGGCAGAATGGCTGGGAGGATATTCATGTCAAGCTGGACTGCTGAAAAGAAAAGCACATGTCCTTAAATGTGTGAGAGAACAGAATGGTCGTCGTCGTCGTCGTCGTCGTCGTCGTCGTCGTCGTCGTCGTGTTCCTATTCGAGCACTTGTCGTCTTGTGCAAAAACTTTCAGTTGTCTCTGCAAGATAATGTGGGAATGCGATTGCCCAAATTTCCCACTTTTGGCAAGGCGTTCCTGTTGCGTGTAGGCGCAGTTTATTTTTGTTGCGTATGGAACACATTATGATTACGATTATGATCATCATGATCATAAGGAAATCTTGCACAATCTCTGCCTAACAAGTTCGTCACTTGACCCTTGCATAAGCAAATGTATACATTTTTTTGGAGTTTGACGCATCTTGTTGAGGAGCTCTGAACCCAGCTGGGCTGACAGCTATAGCTGAATATCTGACAGCAACAGAAACCTTTCCCGTTAATGAGTTATATGTATAAAGATCTAGTCGAAATGAGGAGTGCGGGATGAGGATTGTGGAGTGCACTTAGTGCCACATCCACATCTTTGGAATTTAATTCACTAACCTTTGCTTAGCCTTTTTTTGGGTTAAGCTCCGTCCGCCTTTTCCTGGCTATTTTGTCGTTAGTAAAGCAAATGAACAAAAAAGTTTTCTGCCAGGAAATTAGCATTTGGCAGCATTCGCTTTGAGGCGGTATTCCCCTTTCTGTCTCCCTCTCTCTCCTCCCTCTTCTCCGGAAAATGCAAATGCCTGGAAAAGTGTTACGGTTTTTGGGTTTTTCTCCCTTACTCTACCCTTCCCCTCTCACTGAACACCGTTGATGGGTAGCCATGATTAGTTTAGGTTGGGGAATCGCTGTGCCGCAGCAACCAGCGCCATCTGAATCCCTGTCCGCGCCACATGCCACATGCTCTGTCCGCGCGCTAGATCGGCGCACTGTTTTGGCATCAAATGTTTGGCGCTCCAACTCTGCTTTTAATATGATTGCGATTCGAGCTGCGGGCGCCATTGAGGCATTCACATGGTTGGATGTTCAGCTCGCGCCGCCACTGCACCAATGCACTGCTGATTTGTTGATACATTTTACCATTGCCGTTGCCTTTGCCTTTGCTGTTGTCTTTGTTGTATTTTTATACCCGGTACTCGAAGAGTTTAAGGGGTATACTAAATTTGTGCTCGCAGTTTCTAACCCCATAAAGTATGTATATTCATGATCTGGATCAATCGCCGTCTTTTTTACCTATCCGTCTGTCCGTACGTCCGTCCGTCTTGCTTGGCGCCTAGTTCTCAGACACTGTATGGGCTAGGGCCACTAGATTTTGCCTTCAGACTTTTAGGATATCACACCCTCACAAAAATTAACATATGTGGCATCCACAATTTTGAAGAAACGAGAATACCAAAAACATAGTTCCGTGGAGTATGACCATATCTGTTTCGTGCAGTGGACTGTGTCGGCCTATATCGGAGGATAACGAGCAAAAAATATGCTGTTGCTGTTAGCGAAGAGCTATGGTGCTGGACATGAAGATGACAAATGTAGAAAGAAAATCTAAAGTTTGACATCAATCTCGTAGACACATATGTACATACATACATATAACGGGTAAAAAATTAGCGACGCTGCTTTGGCAGATACTCCCAACGTTCCTCCTGGTTTTGTTTAATTTTAACGAGAACACATAAATTTGCACAACTTTTCTGTGGAAGCGCCAATTTATTAATATTCAAACAGCTGTAAACTTAACTTACGATGAAATGATATTTAGTAACTATTGGAGAATAATACAATTTTGATCTCAAACATTAATATACTACTTTCGACTCACAGGATACTCCACTTAAACATGCAGAGCTGATTTAAATTTTGTCCTGTTGGACTGCTCTTTAATAGGAAAATTTGAAAACAACATATTTTGAAGCAACAAAAACTACACAGAAATTGCATTTTTACTTACTGTTGCCCATTAGTTTCGCCTCGCTTGGCTCAAATGGTTTTTGGCTCGCCGTCATTGTCGTCATTCTGGTTCTGGTCCCACCTTCTTCCGTGGTCCTTTTACTTTGCGGTAATTAATGCCCATAGGTACATACATCTGTGTGAGAGCGGACTCTTTGTGCCTTTCGATGGCGTCCTTTACTTTTGGTCTTGCAGTTGGCCTGTTACAAATTACGGGGTGTGATGCCTCCCATGTGGGGGGCTATTTTTTTGAGGCTGTTGTGGAAGTTTTGTGAGTGCATTTCTGTGAGTTTTATTGGCAAATCAATTAAGTTGAGCTTGAAATTGTATTGTGGATGCTGGTCAATGGTTAATTGAGCGGGCATCTTCCTTTCAAACAAATAACAACCAGTTTTGATAATATATTTAAATGTTTCTGTTACGAAATGGTTCCCGTTATTGCGGAGGAGAGCTCTATATTTAATTGGCTTTAAGTGTGTTGGTTGCGGCCGTTGTTGTTTGGTACGGTTTCGTAATTTGTTGTTAATTAGTTTTCGCGGAGAAGCTTTTTATTGAAAATTAACGCCAGCAGGTTTTCGGTTTCGGTAACATTTCCTATTTGTTTTTGCATTTGCCAGCCAGTCTCCCGAACGGGGACTGGTGGCGGTGACGGGAAAGTGGCTTTGGGTTCTGGGTCTGCTGCTACTTAAATTGAAATCACCCATAAATAGGCATTAAACGTGGTACGTACATAATGATTTTAATGGCGGTTTTCTGTATTATGCTGATTACTGTATATTTTCGGTTTCAATTATTGATTTTCCTCCTCTGTTGCCATTATCTTGTCAGCTGTCCTTTTTTTCAATTTGTTTGGCATTCGAGATAAATTTATCTAATGACGTTGCCATTATGTGCCTTTGGGCCATTTCAATGTCGTAATTTATGGTCCATCTTTTGAATTTGCATAATTTTATTCATTTGGCCTAGACTTCAATGGCTTGATAAACCAAGCACTTGATTCAACTAGTTAAACATCATTTCGCTAAGATGGGAAGAGATAAAATGCGCATGTTACCCGATCAATCTATCCATAAGTTGCTTGATTTTTCTGGAAAATCAAGCAAGAAGATTTCCCCAGTAGTTGATTTGAATGTGTAAATGTATTTCAAGTTCATTGCGAGCCCTTTCAATACTTAAATAGATTCCGCAAAATGCAGCTGCGTCTCCCAGCCGGCAGCTCTGCAGGCACCACTAAATGATATAACTCAGAGTTAAATTTACGACTGAAAATAGTAGTTTGAACTCTATCGAAAGTAGCATAATTCTCTTTTCTTTTTTTAGGAACATTATTATATTCATTTTTACGCTGTCAGAGAGCAGAACGCAAGGCAATTCCAAGGGAATGCTGCACCTTTACCTAATTAGGGCACCCCCTGTTCTGCTCAGTTTTTGGTGTCCTCCCTTTTTTGGGCACTGTCAATCATAAAGCTGTTTAAATAATAAATCACTTTAAAATTAGTTTGCCAACTTGTGCCGTTTGAGCGACAGTAAATTAGTAACAGTTAATTAAAACTATTTAAATTTGAAGCTGCAAATTATTTTAACATTTTTCACATACAGAAAATAGAGGCCAAATTGTAGAAGCTGTGGAAGCTTTACGCATACAGGCCCAGCGGCAAGAAAAACTCGCACAGACACACATGCGTTTTTAAGAACATTTTTAATTGAGCGAGAATTTAAAGAGGGAGACTTCCTCTCACAGTGCCAGGCTGTGTGGCTTACTATATTTGTACGCATGTATCTAGAAACGAGAAGGGACGTGTACTACACTGCACTTAGTAGTACATCTGTACCTTAGCGGTTTTTTGTCAAATTTTACTGACGGACAGACAGACATGGCTCAATCGACTCGGCTATTGATGAAGAATATATATACTTTATGGGGTCGGAAACGTTTCCTTCTATGTGTTACATACATTCAGTGGGCGAGGGCGCTTAAGCGTGAACGTGGGGCGCAACAATTTTCGTATAAAAAGGGTTCTTAGATATTAAATAGCGGGCCTGAGTTTTATATGCATTAGGCCAGATACGGTGGGGCATTAAGATAAGGCACTTACGCCAGGCTTACAGAGCTCCTCAACTGCACATGCCAAACTCGAACAAACACCTACGCAGAAGTTAATTTATGCGGGTATGTCTGCACCCCTCCCTTACTATTTCATCCTGTCTGGCTTGTTGAAATTTTAATTAAAGGGAAAATGTTTAAGGATGCCGCAGGAACAGCAGAATCAAAAGGAAGAATAAAAAAAGGGAACGACGGGAAAAGAAAACGCTGTAGCCCGCATACTCTGGCAACTTTTGGCCTTGCAAAGAACTCCATCCAGGTCGCTTCCACTTGGCATGCTCATCCCTTGACAAGTGCTTAACTTCCTCCACTGACTTTTGCTTAGTTCATAATGATGGAATGTCTACTGTTTTTCACACAGATGGGAGCGGAGAAGATTTGTTTTGTGTTATGCCTTATGTTAATGCAATCGACATGATTTACTTATTTAGCAGTTTTCAAATAAATGTAGTCTCAAAAAATAGCACATCAAATTACAGCGCAACATGTTGCGGTGAGAAAGAGTAGTCCTGACTTCCTTCTTTCGCCTGTGAACAATTGATTTGTCTGGACGTTGATATGCAATGACTGCACCATCAAGTTGCCCATAATGTCTAAATCCTCCCAGTTGCATGGCTGCAGCGTTCAGGTTCTTCATTAAAAGCTCTCTAAAAGGTTAAAAAATATCCAAAAGGCTCAAGATTTACTCAAAAATGGCTTTTATCACAGATTTAATGCATTGATATTATAATACTAATATAATATAATAATATAATAATTAAAATAATAAATATAATAATAATATAATAATAATATTGATATTATAATGCGTTGATATGTAGAAGCAGAACGCGGCAGCCATTAAAGTGGGGTATATGGAAATTAAAGGGGCAGTAAGTCAACCCCTGCTGTTGGGATTTCAAATTTGTTTGAAAACATGGTCATGTATCTGTTCTTTACTGTTAAGTAAAGACCGTACAATGACCGTATCCCAAATTCGAAATATATCGGGATTCCGGTGCTCGGAACTCTACCATTTAAAGTGCCTAAAGTTAATGATTCCGACGTCTCAATAGCCTAACTTTCAATTCCATTAAAAATTGTTGGCTATTGTTTGACCAGAACATTTAAAAACGTGAAAATGTTTTTAAAAAGGGGAGTGGGGAACAATGCCTCTATAGGTCACAGTAAAATAGGAATGGAATCTATGCAAAAATTCTATGCAAATATAAACAATAGGAGGAACTTAAAACATATGAGCTTTAAGGTGAAAAGTAAAATTGAAACAACAAACATGTTTGGAATCTGGTTCAAATCTCCCACATTTTCAATTTCGAAAATAAAAGAAAACTTAAAACGTCATTACGTAGCGAAGATCACTGAATTGGGAATTGGATTGGATCATTATGAAGATGAGTTTGAATGAAGAAATTCATTTGCAGTGGTTTGTTTTGTTTTTTGAACATTATCTCATCAACACTTTAATTCGCGTAGTGTGTGGCTCTAGGGCCACAAAATTAGGGAGAATAAGGGAACAGCAGAAATGCAAGAGCTGAGCATACCAAAAAAACGAACCCTAAATCTCTGCAGCATTGAACTTATAAGCTTTTAATTACATCCAGTTAACAGTCACTATCCATGAGAATATACATTTTTATACCCGGTACTCGGGTATAAGATATATAGGGTATATTGTATTTGTGTGAATAACGGTTGTATGTAACGCACAGAAGGAAACGTTTCCGACCCCATAAAGTATATATATTCTTGATCCGCAAAATAGCCGAGTCGATAGAGAAATGTCTGTCTGTCCGTCTGTCCGTCCGTCAGTCTTGTTTGTCGGCTAGTTCTCAGATACTATAAGAGCTAGAGCCACCAAATTTTAGCTCCGGACTGCTGTATGCTCAAACTGAAACCAGTGTATTTAAAAAATTAGCCCCGCCCCCTTTCCCCCAGGAAAGAGGGCGAAAACCTACCCAAACCTACAATTTTGAAGATACAAGAAAACTAAAAACGCCGTTCCGTAGGAAATGGCCATATCTATCAGATCACCAAATTGGGATCCGATCGGATCATTATTATAGCCAGAATGGAGAAATTGATTTCCAGTGGCTAAACCCACGCTGTCCTGCAGCTTTTGTTGTTCTTTTCACATTCTCTCATTCACACTCTGCTTTTGCTTCACTCGGCCCCTGCCTCTGCCGTCCCTCTGCCTTTGCCTCTGCCGACTTTTAACCCACCCCGTCCCGCAGCATATATTTGTTTTTTTGTTTGTGTGCGGGCGCTGCCTCTGCCTCTGCCGCGAGTCTGCAGTGTGTGGGTCTAGGGAAGGGCGGTGAACTAAAGCAGCGTGTTGGTGCGAGTAGTGTTGTTGATGTAGATGACAGATGAAGAAAAAATGTTACATTTGACAAAACACCGCTAAGGTGCAGAAGTAGTACTGAGTGCCGGGTATAAAAGTTGTGACGCTTAAGAAGCGTCTCACACGTCCCTTCTCGTTTCCGTTATGTTTCTCGGCATTGCTGAACGTACTCGGGCTCCACTCCCAACAGTTAACCCTTAAGTGATGGAATTTCAATAAGCTGACCAAATCAAGCTGATCGTCTCCCAGACAGGCCACGTGCATCAATTGACCGCAGGGTAGGCAAGTATACACATTAACCGCATTTTTCTTTCAATTCAGGCAGGAGATAAAGCCGACAGTGGGAAAGACGGTGTCTTCAGCAGCAAAATTTACAAATATCTCAATTTAAATACTTGTCGGTTGGGAGTTCTCAGAGCATTCCCGTAGCTGACCATCTTCCCATCTGTGCGGCAGGTTGACCAGACCAGCTTTTATGAAGCTCTTCTAAATCAATGTTACGGAAATGAGCCATGGCATGGATGGGCAGGAAGTACTCCCGACTGCTCATAAAGCCCGCAACGAGGTCCCATTCAGAACGATTAAACGTGGAGCATTTGCGTTAGTCAACATACTCGTAGTTAGCCATTCCAAATTAATGAGCACTTAAGCGCACGCAAAACACATTTATTCTGCTTCTCTCCTTGTGTTTATACGTTTCCAAGAGTATCTTTCTGGTTTGTCTTTACTGCCGTTGACACTTGTCAAAACGGTTGGCCGCTGAACCTGCCAGCACAAAAGTTAAGTGTCTTTGACAGACAGCCAAATTTGGTGGTTAGATTACGACACTCACACACACATACTTGCCGATACTTGTACAGGGTAATGATTTATGGGGGTGCCACGTGGAATTATGCACGTGCTCAGTCCCAAAATTCGAATGATGCATTAATCACCAAGGAGACACTTTATAGATCTGCTTTTTATGGCTTAATTTGGTAAACAATTTATGCAAATGCTATAAATTAGCAAAGAATTGTTCGACGGACCAGCCAGAAAATAGATTCTAGTCCGAATTCAATTTAAGAGTTAAGTGGAAAATTCGGGTAAATTAAAAAAAATGACATTTCACATAGCCCAAGACGCAGGAACACTCTCACTTGTACACAAAATGAAACATCCTAGTCGGACGTGGTCGCTTTTGGAACGCCTTTAGAAGTGGGCCTTTACAACCGGTGGCTGTAAATTCAAATTTGTGAAACGCTTGGGTCTCGTTTCCAGTTGTAGTTTCCGAAAAAGCATTACAGAGCACACCTTTGGCATGCATCTAGAACCGTTCCTTGGGAATGTATGGTATATGCATATCGTTCTATAGGAACCTATTAAGAGCCGTTCCGTGAGCATGCATAAAAGAGCTTTCTCAAAGAACGCGAAAAGAACCCACATACATACATACATACAATTTTTGGAAGGGAGGAAATACCGCATTTTAAATGGGAAAAACCCGACCGATCGGGAAGCTGTTCGGGTGGAAACATGCATGAAAGAACGCTTGTTTGAGGAATCGGTTCCTCACAGTCTGCCAGGGAAGTATAAAAAAAAATGTTCTTTTCGCAACCGCTTCGAAAAAGGTCCGACTGGAATAACTACAAAATAAGTACATTCCGGATCAATGAAATAGACTTAAGAAGTTTATAAATGAACAATTATTTTGATTATGGAGAAAATATATATGTTAATCAGCACTCTTTTCCTTATTTAAACTAGTAGGAACGTGTGAGATGCTTCGTACGCGTCACAATTTTCAAACCCGATACTCAGTCTGTACCTTAGTGGTTTTTTTTTCGAAAGCCACACACTTTACGAAGCAGAGTGTGGAATAAAACAATGTTCAAACGAGAAGGGACGTGTGAGACGCTTTTTAGGCGCCACAACTTTTATACCCGGCACTCAGTACCACATCTGTACCTTAGCGGCTATTTTTCAAGTTTTACAATTTTTCTTGAACTGTCATCTATATCAACAATACTACTCACGCCAACACGTTCCGTTAGCTCGCCACCCTCCCCTAGAGCCACACACTGCAGAGTCAGGGCAGAGACGCTGCAGGGGTAAGGACGTGTCTGCGCGAAGCAGAGTGTGAATGAGAGAATGTGCAAAAAGCAAATATAAGCTGCGGGACGGGGTGGGTTTAGCCACTGCAAATAAATTTCTTCATTTTGGCCATAATAATGATCCAATCGGATCCCAATTTGGTGATCTGATAGATATGGTCATGGCGTTTTTAGTTTTCTTTTATCTTCAAAACTATAGGTTTGGGAGGTTGTCGCCCTTTTGCGGGGGCGGAAGGGGGCGGGGAAAATTTTAGAAATACACTTGTAACAGTGTGAGCATACAGAAGTGTGGATGCAAAGACTGGTGGCTCTAGCTCTTATAGTCTCTGAGTACTAGGAGCTTATCAGGACGAACAGACGGACAAACAGACATGGCTGTATCGACACGGCTATTGATGCTGATCAAGAATATATATACTTTATGGGGTCGGAAACGCTTCCTTCTGTGTGACAGCCCCACAAATACTATATACCTTATTTACACATCGAGTACCGGGTATTAAAACCTAAATTTTTCATAAATCACGAAAGCTGAAGTCACGCGAAAACACCGCATGAATGCGGCCAACACCAACATACAAATCCGCATACACATTCGCATACACATACACACACACATACAAGTTCGGAAAAGATATAAATTAAATCAACCTAATTATGTATATTAAATTTAAGCTTCATGCATCAGCTTTGTCCTAAGCAGAAAGCAAGGCATGAATTCACGTTGAGTATACGCCACGTTGTGTTTCCTTTTTTCTTCCTTCGGCTCGACTTTCTATTGCTTTGCCAGTAGCTTGTTTAAACTCACGTGGCTGTCAAACGATTTCAGTGGCCTTCTCCACAACAAAAAGGGAGCAGAGTGGCACAGGAAATTACGTGTTTAGCAAATATCACCAAGTCCAGAAGACGCACAATACAAACGGACAAAAAGTTAATTGTATGAAATCAACAGACTTAAAGTCCAACAGCGGGAGCAGGAGTAGGATCTGCAGAGCAGGAAAAACAACTGGAACAACAAATACGTTGAGCATGTTGACAACAGTCAAGCGCAATAGTAGGGGCAGGACCCAACCAGAAAACCCAAAAAAAATGGTGGGAATGATTCTCGTGGCAGGGCATGTCGGGGCAAGGCAGGGAGGAAGTCAAGTCGACCTACAGCCAACAGTCAGACGTTGAAGAGTAAGCAAGGACCCACCTTGCACTGAGCCAACAAAGAAAAAAGTGTCTGTGTGGGTGGGAGGGACGTAAAAGAGTACAAGTGATGAAGCAGCTTCCGTTGCAGGGTCTTGCTCTCGCTCCTGCACATGAAAAAGATGAAACTGCTTTTGGTGTCTTGTAGGCAAGCTAAATACTCAAGGATCCTGAGCAGGAGAGTGGAGAGAAAGGAAACAAGTCAGCACAGGACACTCGAACATCAGTGGGACACCCCGACACCTTCAGATAGCAGCATACATTGTCACCCGCTTTCCCCGGAATAAACGGGAATGTGTCTTCGTTGTCGTACGAAAATACTTGAACAAATCGTGTTAAATCGCGCTCAAGTGTTAAAGTAATAAGCACTTTTATGAAATAAAGTTGAGAGGCTTCTTGGGTGTGAAATTGACAGACCAATGCACACACAGAGACAGCCATAGAAACCGATTGCGGTGCTTACCAAGTTATTTTTATACCCGGTACTCGAAGAGTAAATAGGGTATATTATATTTGTGGGGAAAAGTGAATGTATGTAACGCACAGAAAGAAACGTTTCCGACCCCACAATGTTTATATATTCTTGATCAGCATCAAAAGCTGAGTCGATAGAGCCATATCTGTCTGTCCGTCTGACCGTCCGTCTTGTTGAGCGCCTGGATCTCAGAGACTATAAAAGCTAGTGCCACCACATTTTTCATCCAGACCTCTGTATGCTCACACTGTTATATGTGTGTTTTGAGCCACAATTTTAAAACTAAAATAAAACTAATGAGAAGGGACGTGTGGGACGCTTCTTACGCGTCACAACTTTTATACCCGGCACTCAGTACTACATCTCTACCTTTGCGGTTATATGTCAAATTTTAAATTTTTTCTTCATCTGTCATCTACATCTACAACACTTCTCAAGCCAACAATTTTACATTTTTTCTTCATCTATCATCAACATCTACAACACTTCTCAAGCCAACACGCTCCTTTAGTTCCTTTAGTAGATTTGGTAGGTTTTCGCCCTTTTGCGGGGACGGAAGGGGGCGTGGCACATTTTTAAATACACTTGTAACAGTGTGAGCATACAGAAGTCTGGATGCAAAATTTGGGAGCTCTAGCTTTTTGGTCTCTGAGATCCAGGCGCTCAACAAGACGGGCGGATAGACGAACAGCCAGACGTGGCTCTATCGACTCGGCTATTGATGCTCATGAAGAATATGTATACTTTATGGGGACGGAAACGCTTCCTTCTGTGCGTTACATACAACCGTTATTCGCACAAATACAATATAGCCTATTTACTTTTCGAGTACCGGGTATAAAAACGCCATTCCGTAAGGAAGGACTCACTGAATTGGGATCAGATTGCATCATTATTATAGCCAGAATGAACAAATTAATTTGCAGTGGCTAAATCCACCCCGTCCAGCACCTTTGCTTATTTTTTGCACATTCTCTCATTCCACACTCAGCTTCGTGCAGTGTGGTATAAAAACGCCTTTCCGTAAGGAAGGACTAAATCTATCAGATCACTGAATTGGGATCAGATTGGATCATTATTATAGCCAGAATGAACAAATTAATTTGCAGTGGCTAAATCCACCCCGTCCAGCACCTTTGCTTATTTTTTGCACATTCTCTCATTCCACACTCAGCTTCGTGCAGTGTGCTCTAGGCTATAGGGAGGGGGGGGGGGGGGGGGTCTAAAAGACAGTGTTGGCATGAAAAGTGATGTAGATGTAGGTGACGGATGAAGACCAATTGTAAATTTTGAAAAAACCGCTACGATACAGATATAGTAAGTACTTACTGAGTACCGAGTATACAAGTTGTGACGCGTAAGAAGCGTCTCACACGTCCCTTATCGTTTTTCTTATGCTCGATGGTATCTTTATTTTCAGGTAATTTCTGAGAAACTGCTTTTCGGTTGAGTTTTGGCAGAGGGCACTTTCGGTAAAAAGCCCGTTTTTTTTGGCATTAATCCAAAAAATAGAGCTAGAGCTCTACAAATTGGAATGAATGTTCGTTAGACTAAAGTAGATTTTCGGAAAAAAATGTAGTCATTTGGACCTAGCCTACCTTAAAAAATTCAAAAGGTTAATTATTATAAAAAATCCTTCAAAACATTTCAGAAATTTTAAAATATATATTTGATTGACTGATTTGATTGTTTGGTTAAAAGTATTTTGATTGGAATCGCTCCAACGTACAATTGCATTTCGCTTAGTACTTACTTGTTTAGCTAAGCAATAAATTGGATAATTCTCGTTTAAATTGTATTAGTTTCATCTTTAGTTAGTCAGTTTTCGCAATACTCTTTAAACTATAACATTTTATTGCGTCTGCTTCATGATTGGTGTTGGTCCAGACCTCCAACAGCGCTGCATGAGTAAACTCATCTACAAAATTTACAATTTTTCGAAAAGGGTCAAAATCGGGCAAACGCATTAACACCACGAGATTTTATAATATTTGGTTAATAACATGTAACTTGAACCTGGTGGTGTGGTGTGCAAAAGTAATATTCCACAGAAAACACGTGCAACTGTTAATACCAAGCTAAAAAGACACAGAAAAAAACATTGGACAATTAAATAACTACACACAACTATACAAAAACATGTACTAACATTTAATTTAAGTACCTCGACCTGTTATTTCCATATTTTTACTTGCATATAAACTTTGTTATCGCGCTACAATTACAGCTGCAAGTTGCTCAATTTTTCTCGCACCTTTTCACAAGTGAAAGCATCTCAAAATCAGCCGACTTTGAAAGCGCCAAAAATGTCCGTAAAAATCTTCTAAAATCATATTTGTTCTATCTGGATATTTAGGAATCAGAAAACTTAAGTCGCATTCAAATATTTTACCCAACAAAAATTACATAAATGCCAAAAATTCGGGATTTTTACCCATAGTGGAGTAATAGTTTGAGCTAGGAAAAATCGTGTCGGGTAGTGTAATCGTTCAAATTAGTCCGACCTAGTATACAAATTATAATGGTACATAGCAAGTGGAATCAAATTGCATCTAAAAAGTAGTTTTACTGTCTCTTATAGTTAAGCTTTATCCAACTACGCGTAAAGATAATATATTGAAAACGGTTTTTATATTGTATTGCATATGGTTTTTTAAATAATTACACCCATCTGCAGCGTCATTAAAAATTTCACCACCATACACATACATATGTATTTATGTGAATTTTCAATAGTGGGTACTTGTACCATCTGGGCGAATGATCAATTCATTTTGCACATTCCATTTCAATCTGAAGTGCAGCTTATTAGTCTTTGCTATTCTGATTTTATTCTGCACTTGCATTTTCCATATGTTGAAAATCTCACTTGGGCTCGAAATATCAATGTAAATCACTTAGAGACATAATTAAAATACATACGCATGTTAAATGGGTATGAACTACAATAGCGTGTGCATTAATTTAATAATTAACACTTATTATGCGCGTCCTGTATTTATGACGCGACTGCCACTTGGCTGACAGTCGGCCATCGCCTGGATGCTGGTGCTGAGAGCAGACAGAATCGAGTAGTTAATTATAATTTATGCATAATTAAAAATATATTTATTAAAAAGTGTCTGATAAGGCCATGCATATGAGTAGTGATGGTTGGACGACCAAATGCTCCTGCTCCCCCATTTGCGACTCATTTTTTTAACCCATCCACTGAATCTGATACACACACAAACTCATAAATGTATATACATATATACGAGTATTTACTTATCCCATAATGTGGCTGCCTGTCTAATACCCTTAAATTCGCCATCATTGTCAACAGCCGTGGCCTGCTTTTATAGCTTCCATGTTAATCCCCATCCACATCACCCACCCACCGTTCCCAACTCATCCGCAGACCCGGAGCATCCACATTCACTTCCCATTGCCATCGCCATCTCCTGCCTGTGGCTTAGTCCTCGATTCTATATTAGAAGAATAGTTTTCTACGGTCATAATCACTTTAAAACAGTTTTGTGTGCGCCACATTTAATGAAAATTAATTTTGAAACTTACACAGGGTTAGCTCCTCTACATATAATTTTTCGGGCTTAAATTTTGTTCCCTTTGGATTCCTGGAAAAATCCCCTAAAATTACCACAAAAATCCCAGACATATAAACTTTTGCGCCTTTTTTTATACCCGGTGCTCGAAAAGTAAATAGGGTATATTGCATTTGTGCTAGAACAATTTATATATATTTAATTTATCTATATTTATCTGTACAGTATATATGTATTTATGTACATATGTATATATTCTTGATCAGTATTAATAGCCGAGAACACCTATTATTTAGAGATCATAAGAGATAGGGCAACCTTAGCATTCAGACTTCTGTATGCTGCCACTGTTACAAGTGTGTTTCAAAATTTCGGCACTCCCCCTTCAGGCCCCACAAAGGGCCAAAATCTCTCACATCCACAATTTTGAATATAAGAGAAAACTAAAATCGCAGTTCCGTAGAGAATGGCTATATTTATCAGATCGGCTCAGGTCATTATTATAGCGAGAAGTCACCCAGTCCAGCAGCTTTTCTTATGCTTGTTTATTGTTTCTCGACGGCACACTCTGCCTTTTGCAGTGGGTGGTTGATTTGGGAGGGAGGCGAAATTCGAAAAACTCAAAAGGATGCTTGCATATGAATTTTGATATAATGTGAAAAAGTACCTTTTATAAAAGTGTTGACTTGTATGAGCATCTCACAAACGTTCCTAATCGTTTTTTTTTTTTTGCATCCAACGAAACTTTTGGTTAGTTGCTGTCTGCTGGCGGCTGGTGTGACAATCACTTCTGAGCGTAAGCTGCGCCATATTGTCTGCCATTATTGTTAGCGTACGGGAAACGGAAATAGGGTGTCATATTTTTCACTGTCGGTCTGACTGTTCTGGCCTTCGCAGGCTGTATGTGTGTGTACGTGCTCGTGTTGCAAAAAGTCGTGCTTAAGCATCATCTCCGGCCGTGAGCTAATACTCGTATGTATCTCATTACCATGCTGAAGCAAGTTTAACATTTCTCTGTAATTTCACAACATCAGACTTGTGCAATTTATTACGGTTGGTGCTGTTCGATATGGATTCTTGTATGTAGACATGTGCATACATACCTTGGAAATTTTGTATTATAAGCCATCGCCGTCTGGTTAGCATTTAAAGCAGGGCTCGGTACGCCCTATTTATTGTGCATAGGAAAAGATACTGCCTCGGAGCTGCCGCTGACGTACAGGCGTATTACAGTGATTCGTACCAATACCAATAAATTTAAATGATCCGTTTTGCGTGCGTCTTCACACATAAAGCCCTGATTTAAACTAATAATAACATCTATCATCTACATCTACATCATTTCTCTCACACTGAAAATTAAGGCAGTTCAAAAAACACAGTGGGTATGTAAGAGTATAAAAAGGAAATTAGAAAGTATAATGAAGTGTTTAAGTCTTGCTTTTAATATGGTGGTTGTCTCTCCAAACGCTATGCTCCAGCACCCACTCACTAGCACAAAGTTGACTTTCAGATGGCTTCCACGCCTTTATGGACACTGCGTCCGCATTTTGCCAAGTTTTATAGCGGCACAACTGAAAGGGCAACACTCGTACGCCATGTGCGCCATGAATATTTTTTAACCGCACTGTAAACACTGCTCACAAAAATGTTTGCCCGTATACAATTACTGCTATGGTATTCAAAAACTCTTGACTCTACTCGCACAGAAAGAAAGCAGACTTCACCGCAGCTGCGGTTCGTGTTCTGTCCTTTGAAACAACGCACGCCCAAAAATGGTAAGGGGCCCAAGTTGGCTGCAACATTACTCATAAGTCTCGCGAACATTCGTTCCTCACAGGAACTGTCTCCACACATCTTTTGTTAGTGAATCTTGGTTATTTCTGGGACAATATTTGTGGTCATCAGTGGTCACCAGCCAAAAGGCCAACTCAATATGAATGGGTAGATTTGTACAAAGACAAATGTCTGTTTTCATGTTTTTCGTGACTGCTGCTGTATTGGATTATTTTATATTGGATGGGGAAATAAATATTTAGCATATGAAAAATATAGAAACATCTTTAAAGTTACTTGAGCTTTTCCAGGATGTGATCTACCCATTCTCCACCCTGAAGATTATGTAGAGAAATTTCTCATTAGCTTTTAACTGCAATTTCCGAACTTTTCTGATTACTGTCTTCGACGTTCATCCACCTGAGTCAATCAGGAACTATTATCATAATAGTAAAATAAAGACTTTAATTTAAGTAAAAGCAACAACCCGTAACACTGTCAATAAACCATTTATGAATTAAGGTATTGTGTTCAAAGACACATAAGTCTGAAGTCCCAATATTCGGTCTTTTTTGTAAGGTGTGCAAAATAAGTCACCTTACAATGCTTATGATCTGCTGTTAAATCTTCTTCGTTGGGTTTGGTCTATTGTTTCTTGCCAACAACAAAATTCAGTAGAAAGTCCAAATAGGTTCCGTTCAAAACTTAAAACGAGAAGAAAACGCTTCTTACGCGTCACAACATTTAAACTCGGTACTCAGTTAGTATATCGAATTTTACATTTGCCATATTTTATTTTTTCTACATATTTCGTCTACATCTACATCACTTCTTACGCCAACACGCTCTTTTAGCTGGCTCCGGGAGCCGCACACTCCACGGAGTGTGGAATAAGAGAATGTACAAAAAACATAAAAACACTGCTGGACGGACAGACAGACATGTCTCTATCGGCTCGGCTATTGACGATGATCAAGAATATATATACTTTATGGGGTAGGAAACGTGTTTTTCTGTGCGTTACATAAATCCGTTACATAAATACCCTATTTACTCTTCGAGTACCGGGTATAATTAGTTTACTTTCGATCAAATATGTCAAAGCCGCTATATTTATAATGAAGAGCATGCCAAAATTGCAACGAATCGCGAAATGGGGATGCTACTATAGCAATTTGCTACCAAACTGAACGAAAGCTATTTAGCGATTCGAAAACAGGTCAAAGATCCTGAAAATCACGGAAAAAACCTCGTTCGGGCGGGCCTTCATTACTGCAAGAGCGTGACAAGCGCCGTAAAAGAAGCTTAGCACTCAAAGCAAACCTTAGCGGAGCCCAAATTGTTCACGATCTGACTCTACAAATGTTGACGGCAAACCAGAACATTTCGTATAAAAAAGTGTGGTCAAATGTCAGCTACTTCCTCGACATAAAGTTGCCCATATTGAATTTTCAACGAGAAGGACGTGTTAGACGCTTATTACGCGTCACAACTTTTATAACTCAGTACTAGATCTGCACCATAGCGGTGTTACGTCAAATTTTACATTTTTGTTATACCTGGTACTCGAAGAGTAAATAGGGTATATTGTTGTTGAGCGAATAACGGTTATATGTAACACACAGAAGGAAACGTTTCCGACCCCATAAAGTATATATATTCTTGATCAGCATCAATAGCCGAGTCGATTGAGCCATGTCTGTCTGTTCATCCGTCTGTCCGTCCGTCTTGTTGAGCGCCTGGATCTCAGAGACCATAAAAGCTATAGACACCAAATTTTGCATCCAGACTTCTGTATGCTCACACTGTTACAAGTGTATTTCAAAAATGAGCCACGCCCCCGCAAAATGGCGAAAACCTCCCAAATCTACAGTTTTGAAGATAAAAAAAAATTAAAAACGCCATTCCGTAGGGAATTGCCATATCTATTAGATCACCAAATACGTGTCGGGTGGGTTTAGCCACTGCAAATTAATTTCCTCATTTTGGCTATAATAATGATCCAATCGGATCCCAATTTGCTGATCTGATAGATATGGTCATTCCCTACGGGATCGCGTTTTCGTTTTAGATTTCTTTTATCTTTAAAATTGTAAGTTTTTCACCCTTTTTCCTGGTGGAAAGGGGGCGGGGCTCATTTTTGAAATACACTTGTAACAGGGTGAGCATACAGAAGTATGGATGCAAAATTTGGTGGTTTTAGCTCTTATAGTCTCTGAGTACTCAGACGCTCATCAGGGCGGACAGACGGATGGACAGACAGACATGGCTCAATCGACTCGGTTATTGATGCTGATCAAGAATATATATACTTTATGGGGTCGGAAACGTTTCCTTCTCTACTCTTCGAGTACGGGGTATAATAAGTATTATCAAGCCATTTCTGAGCACCATATCTTACAGAGAAAGTTAGTTTGGTTCGAAGCGGAAAAGTCGGGAAGTGTAATTAGAAGGCAGCAAGGGAAATAACATTAACGATAGGTGGAATTAACAAACATTTATTATATGTACAACAATATGCATGACCACATAAAAAGTTAATTGTTAATTCTTATTAGAAGCACAATTATATGTGCCTGGGTTGTGTAAAAAATGCTGTACAAACAGACCAATGCTCTATGGGTAAAAAGCCCAAATTTTTGTCATTAATGTAATATTTTTTGGGTAACATTTGTACTGAGTACCATAAATAATTTAGAATCATGGGGGTTTACTGCTTTTTGCCCGCCTTTGCCCCTTTTCTGAAAAATTTAAATTTTGCAGATGCTTATGAGTTCTGCTGGAGTTGTACTTTATTGTAGTATTGATAAAAAATGTCAAACTAAAGATGAAACTATTAAATTTGAAACCAAAATTATCCTATTTATTGCTTAGGTAAACAAGTGCTAAGTGAAATTAATCGTACGTTGGAATGATTACCATCATATTATATTTAACTAATCAATCACTCAACCAGTCAATCATATATTTGTTTTAAGTTGGAAAAAAATTTAAAGGATCTGTTATTATAATTAATATTTTAAATACTTTTTTTCAATAAATCCGACGTAAATGGGTTTCTGTTCGTATGGGGGAGGGATTTAGGCGTGGTCCAAAAGACTTCAGTCTAACGAACATTTTTGCCAATTTTTCTATCATTATTTTTTGGATTAATGCCAAAAAATCGGGCTTTTCACCCATAGTGCACAGGCCAAATAAATATAATTTTAGAGCATTACTCACGTGTGCGATCTCGTTTGCTCTAATGGTATCCACTCACGCTATGACAATAATCCACCATTTTGTGCTCCTGTTGAGGGACGAGGACCTGGCCCGTTTTTGATTTGGCAATTAAAACTCGAAGGTCTTAGCAGAGCGACCCCAAAAAGTAGGCATCAGAAATAAAAATAAATACAAGTGATTAATGATTTGTTCTTTGCTTTGGTAGGCTGTAGAAATGCACTAAAAACCAATTTACCCTGGAAAACTTCAAGTAATAATCATAAAAGAGCAGAGGCCAAGAAAAAGGCAAAAAGGGAAACGAGTCTTCATACAAATTTTGGGGACAAGGACATTAAAAAATTAATGGCACTCACCCACTGTACTTTGACACGCAGCGTGTCTGTGAATTTTGTATTATTGTTGGTTGTTTTTTGTAGTTTGCAGTTCGTTAGAGTTAATTGGTTGGAAGCCGGAAACGAATAAACAAACAAATCGTTAAACCATTATTAATATGCAATTTATATTGATATAAACTTTTTGTGGTCGCTGCTTAAAACGCTGCCACTTATGAGTTTTTGCCCTGGCCTTGTTTTTTCTGTCCAGGGCTTCCAGGACTCAACACAACATGGCGTTTACAATATTTTCCATTTTTATGCCAAGATTTATTAGTTTGGAGATAAATAAAAGATGCCGCTCTGCATAGAACAGATGGAAGGAAAGGATAGGAGAGAACAAGCGGGCGGAGTAGGTAACCCTTCTGTCTCAATAAATCACTTGGCGGACTATGAAATTGGCTTTTATGTCCCCATTCATTGGTATTGCTTTCATTTATTTATAATTTTGGAGTGGGGCTATATTTCAAAATAGCTATCGTGGGGAAATCTATCGAGCACTATCTGAATGAAGCTATTGGCTGTTAATTGATGTCCATAGCATGTGAAGTACATACATATGTACATACATATGTATGTATATGGGTGTCTATGTCTGATCGGGCTCCAACTGCTTCCGAGAAATTGTTGATGGGAAAGTCCGTCTTGTGATGGGAACGTTTTTGATAATTACTAGGAGCTTAGCAACTGCTTTTAGAATCTTCTAATATAAGTTTGAAGACCTAAGTAAGACTGATTAATCTATACATACTTCTTGCCCTATATCATCAGTATTGTTTTTTTCTAAAATATACATTTATCAATAGGCTCCTATAATTTTACGCATAGCAAAAAGTTTTCACGTGACGGTGATTTGATTGTGCCCATCCGAGATTGATTGAGCCCATCTTTCACCTAGACAACAGCATAGTGCAATCAGCCACAAAGTGGGCAGTAGCTGCTCCGGCCAAACAATGACATTCACTTGTATAATTTTGGCTTTATCTGGCTACTGTCAACATTTGTATCTACTGCAAGAGCAAGGCAGCTAAGCAACCCAGTCAGCGGCAGTGGCAGTGTAAACAGGAATCCACAAAAGAAGCAAGAGGGCCATGTGTGTAAGGAGGGCAGGCACTTAAACGTGTTGCATTATTCAGGCGACGCTTATTCAAAGCCATTGCACTCAGCTGCTCTCGACAGTCATCAGCAGATCAAAAAACGGAGGCACAGACCAGCAATATTTTGATGGGACTAAGAGCTCTACTGGAATTCAGCTCCTGCTTACTTATTAAAGACGAATTTGAAAGGAGAGAAAACGACTTGTGTGCTCTGGTGGCAGGTTATTTCAAGCGAAGGGGCCCTGTTTGACATTTATGAAGTTTACTCTATCGCTGTTTACACGCTATGCTGAAATCATGCGAGCAAAATCTTACATTTTTATACCCGGTACTCGAAGAGTAAATGGGGTATTTTGTATTTCTGAAAGTGTTTATATTATTGATCAGCATCAATAGCTGAGTCTATATTTGTCTGTCTGTCCGTCCGTCTTATTGAGCACCTGGATCTCAGATAGTATCTAGTGCCACAGTGTTTCAAGTAATTTAAAAAATGAGTCCCGCCTCCATCCGCCCCCGCAAAGAGCGAAAATCGACGTTATCCACAATTTTGGAGATAAAGAAAAACTAAAACTGGCATTCCGTAGGGAAGGACTATGTCTATCAGATCACAATGAAGAAATTAATTTGCAGCGGCTAAACCCACCCCGTCCAGCAGCTTTTCCTTTTTTTGCACATTCTCTCATTCCACACTTTGCATCGTGCAGTGTGCGGCTCTTGACGTGTTGGCGTGAGAAGTGATGTAGAGTAAGATGACATATGTAGAAAAAACGTAAAATATAAAATTTGAAAGAACCGCTAAGGTACAGATTTCCTAATGAGTACCGGGTATAAAAGTTGTGACGCGTAACAAGCGTCTTATACGTCCCTGCTCGTTTTTGATTATTTTGCAAAAATAATCGCCGCACAAGTGTCACTTGGGCCACCGGCTTGCCTTGTAGATAAATTATAATAATCTCTTGAGGCGCAGCATCTCGGTATGATGGCATCATCCATATCAGTACCATATCATAGCGGATTATGAGTGTATCATGTAGAGAGCAGCGGCGGCAAGTTTACATAAGAAAGTAAAACTTTGTTCTGCCTGTTTTCTTCTTTATCTGATGTGTCTTTTTGCTACTAATACCAACGCACTGTGGGGCACCTGACCACTTTTTCTGGGCGAAACTCATTTTTCAAATTTGATGGAATAATATTTAATGTTACATACCCAAAAAATGAACAGTACGCACCACTGTTAAGATAACAGCTGTTAAAGTGAGCTGTTTGATATGATCGGACCAAGAATTTTTTTCGTAAAGTTAAAATTGCAAAAAAGTGGTATTTATAAATTTATTTATAAATTTAAGTGCATTTTTATACCCGGTACTCCAAGAGTAAATAGGGTATATTGTATTTGTGGGGAATAACGGTTGTATGTAACGCACAGAAGGAAACGTTTCCGACCCCATAAAGTATATCTACTATATATATATATATATATTATATTCTCGATCAGCATCAACAGCCGAGTCGATTGACCCATGCCCTTCTGTCCATCCGTCTGTCCGTCCGTCCGTCTGTCCGTCTTGTTTTTCGGCTAGTTCTCAGAGACTATAAGAGCTAGAGCCACAAAATTTTGGCTCCAGACTGCTGTATGCTCGCACTGAAACTAGTGTACTTCAAAAATTAGCCACGCCCCCTTCCACCACCGCAAAAAGGACGAAAACCTCCCAAATTAGCTCACCGCCCTTCCTTAGACCCACACACTGCAGACTCGCGGCAGAGGCAGAGGCAGCGCCCGCACACAAACAAAAAAAACAAATATAAGCTGCGGGACGGGGTGGGTTAAAAGTCGGCAGAGGCAAAGGCAGAGGGAGGGCAGAGGCAGGGGCCGAGTGAAGCAAAAGCAGAGTGTGAAGGAGAAAATGTGAAAAGTACAACAGTAATAATTATCCGATCGGATCCCAATTTGGTGATCTGATAGATATGGGCATTTCCTACGGAATGGCGTTTTTAGTTATCTTTTATCTTCAAAACTGTAGATTTGGGAGGTTTTCGACCTTTTGCGGGGGCGGAGGGGGCGTGGCTAATTTTTGAAGTACACTAGTTTCAGTGTGAGCATACAGCAGTCTGGAGCCAAAATGTTGTGGCTCTAGCTCTTATAGTCTCTGAGAACTAGCCGACAAACAAGACGGACAGACGGACGGACAGACAGACATGGCTCAGTGCCATGAGTCGATTGAGCCATGTCTGTCTGTCCGTCCGTATATATATATATATATATATATATATTAGATATACTTTATGGGGTCGGAAACGCTTCCTTCTGTGCGTTACATACAACCGTTATTCTCCACAAAAACAATATACCCTATTTACTCTTCGAGTACCGGATATAAAAAATCGAAAAAACTGTGCAGATTGGCTACATTTGTGTACAATCCGTGCAATTATAACAATGTTGAGACATGTCCAGTATCTCTGCACTGTCGTGCAGGGCTATTGTGTCCAACATTTCTACAACTCATGGAAAAGAAGCTGCTTGCAGTATTCAAGGAAGTCAATTTAAATAAAATAATTATCTTTTAGTTTTCAATTTTAAAAAATCCGGGTAAGGCTCTTTTAATATAATATGGCATTACTGTACATTTTGAAATAATTTTTTCTTTGATTACATTTTAAAATAAAATAAAAATTCAATTTTACACTGAGACAAAGGCGCTGACACTCCCATTTTTTCAACGCAACTTTCTTACACTATTATAAGCTGATATCAAAAAATTAAATTAAAAAATATTGTTTCGTATGGAAGTTGTTAATTATTTCCACATAAAGTGGTCAAAAGCCCCATAGTGCAAAGTAGGCACACACATGTGTTTTGGAAGTACCCATGTGTGTGAGGGTGTTCTAGATGCCATAACGTATGCAACATTATACGAAAAAATATTCCGTCGGAGAGGGAAGATTCCATCTGCCTCCTCATCAAAACGAGAAGCACAGAGAAAGGCCTAAACATCAGGATGATGCGAGTCGGTTGAGGGGTTGTTGCAGGGGTGTACATTGTACACACAGGCATCTTTTAATATCGTACTCTAAGGTTGTTTACTTCTACACTCACTGAAAGAAACTAAGCTTCAATCAGCGAATAGCACTCAGCGAAAATTATAGATACAAGTGACCCACAATTAATGAGTTCTGCAAATGTCATTACTAACTAGCATAAAGCACATATGTACAAATGTATGTACCTATGTATGTACATTCCAAAAATTTGTACATTATTCACCAAGCCCAAACTAAGACAAAACTAGATTTGCGTATAAAGATTGTTACTATTCATTGGTATATTCTCTCAATCAGTTTTCATTTTTGCTTACTTTCATCACCAATTAGTTAATTATATTACTTTGTTTTTTGTTCTTTTTGTTTTTCTTTTTACTGGTTGAATCACAGTTACATACCAAAAACTTATTACTTATTACAGGCTACCCAAGCACATTTTTGCAAGAACCAAAATTGTTACCCAAAGATTTCTCGCAATGCATTCTGTAAAGATGTCGCAGTACGCAGTGTTTGTGTGTGTGTGTGTGTGTGTGTGTGTGTGTGTGTATGTGTTCGCGTATATGCATGTGTTCGTGTGCGTGTGTAGTTGTTTGAGGTTGCGCTTCGCGCTGTTTACACTGCCTATGTCTACATTTAGCGTACATATGTACATATATATAAAAGATATATGCATAAAAGTATGTACGTATGTACACCATCTATAAGTTCGCTAGCTATACATTGTTTTTGTTGTTGCTGTTGATCTATGTTTAGTGTTGTTTTTGTTCTTGGTGTTTTTATTGCTATTGTGCTTCGTTTATGGCACAAGTTTCTTAAATCCAGCACCTTCTTGGCCAAGTTTGAGCTCTTCATAAATTGTGGGATTTACTTCA